ATAGCACATCAAATAGCAGTTCTCGTTTCAGAGCCCGCGCAAGATCCTGCCTGGGGACCGGCCCAAGTCTGATGGCCGAGAGCGGCCTCGTTTGGAGGCACAGCGTCTGCCTCAGCTCCGCCTCGCAGCGTTCAGACAAGTGAGCTCGCACGAATGTTTTGTACTGGCGCAAGGACTGACCGCTGCGCGCGGCCTCCCATGCAGGCCAATCAGGAATGGACCAGTGCTCGAGTAGAGCGAGCGACCGCTGTGCCCAGGATCGCCCCCCCGTGCCGTGAGCTTGCAGGAAAATGCGCCTGTATAAATCATCTTCTTGAAGCCTCTAGAGGCCAGCGCGCCTGGTGGCGACCTCGTACACGGCCCTGGCTGGCCCAGAGAGCGACCATCCCAATTCAGAGAGAGCCCAACCCGGACGACGCCAGGGCGAGGCGCCCAGGAGAGCGCGCGCCCAGGCACTGTAGTTTTGTTGCAGTTTGCCCGGCGCCCCCACAGCCACCGCCCAGAGCCACCGGCCTAATCGGAGCGCACCTTCGACCTGGGACTCGAAGATGTGGGCTGCGACGGCGAGCGGCACGACCCCCGCGGTGACGTGCCCTACCAGAGATGCACACTGCGCAGACGCCGCGCCCAGCCGTGCGTCCATGATACGTTCGAGGTCGAGGTCTCCTGGCCACATCAGTCTGAGCCACTGGTGTGCGCTTTTGAAACCCAGCCTGACAGGAGTTCCTCCCTTGAGGGGCAAGGTGAGGGGCACGGCGGCTGCCCCCGCCCTCCTGGCAGAAGGTGATCCATGGACGACCACTGCCTGTTTGGAGGGCTTGGTGTGAGGAGAGGCCTTGTAGGTGAAGGCCCATTCTGCCAGCGTGTTCTGCGCGATTTGCGCTCCTCCCCTGGTGGAGGACAGCAGGACAGGATCATCTGCATGCAGGACTGCCGCCAGGCGCAGTGGCGCAGCAGCGTCCAGCGCCGCCAGTGCGGAGGCTTCAAGCATCAGGTCGCTGGCGAGGTCGGCGGCCGCGGGTAACTGCGAATCCTCCCGTAAAGCGCAAGTCAGCGCACGCGTGGTCTCAGGATCTGGCGTGCCCGTCACCTGCCACTGGTACCCCGTCCAGAGACGCGGTACGTGAACACCGACCCCCACGCCGCAGCTCGCGTGGTGTAGCGCCTCTGTGAGGGAATCCATGTACACGGGAAAAGTGAGCGGCCCCACCGTCCCCCCTTCCGCAATCCCCTGGAGTATAACCACTGTGGCTACCTCATTGTAGTTCACATGGATGGCGTCCGAAGCGAGCATACTTCCCAAGAGCGACAGCATACCGTCACGCACGCCAGCCGTTTCGTGCAGTCTCAGAAGAAGCGCCTCCTCCAGGTCCGCGGGAAAGCCTTCTGGAGGTCTCCGGAAACTGCCCACAACGGCCGCCCAGAGTGCGCAGCCTCTGATGCAAGCTCGTGTACAACGAGGGGCGTCGCCGACATCGCGGCAACACCCGCTTCGACCTGGAAAGATGGACGCACGTAGCTGTACGACCAGCCTTCCTTGGACGAGCATTTCCTGCAACAAGCCCATCTGCGACTTCACCACGATGAGGCGGAACGACTCTCCGACGTCCAGCGGCCCATCCTTGTGCAAGGGGACTGCGCAGCTGCCCCGCCAGGCAGCGGGCCGCGCAGCTAGGCACCCTGGACCCGTCAGGCGCACGGCCAGCCAGACGGGGGTCAGGAGATGCTGGTCGCCTAAGTGCAAGGCCCTGCGCGGCACAAGGTCAGGCGTCGTGGCGGCTGTGCTGCCCATAGAGGCCAGGGCGGCCTCGATTTCGACCTGCTCAACCGGCGAATCGTGAGGCCCACTGCCACGGTTAGCCCGCGCCCGCCCCAACACCACCAGCAGCGACCCCGATACATGGGCGTGGAAGGTTGTATCCCAAGGGCCAGGCCACCGCGACTGTTCCTCCAACTGCTGGCACCACGCCTCTAGCGAGGCCGCCATGGTCAAGAGCTCGCCTGTTTTCCCTCTCAGAAGAGGAGCAGGCCGGGGTTCCCGCGGGCGGAGGAGCCGCATGCACTTTACAGCACGCTCCTGTGCGGTCCCTGGCCCCTCTATGGCTGACCGTACCCTGCCTCGCAGTTCAGGAGCCTCTGTACGGCTCGGGGGAGGAGAGGAATTTTTCGGGACCACCCAGCCTGCCAGTACCAGCCCCAAGACGAGGTGCAGCAGCCACGCAGCGGCATCCCCTAACCACTGAGCCGCGCGCGCGCCCAGCGTTCTCGAGCTGGCGGCTGCCTCCCCGTCGCCACAATAGTGCCGCAGGGTGTACGCATACGCTTGCAAGACTGGGCGGGCCTCTGTGAGCCCGTCGGCCCAGGAGTCCGCTTTGTTCCACCAGCGCGGCATGCGGATGGCACCCTGCCCGAGGGACGCAAGCGGGAGCCGAAATGGGATGGTAAAGTCGATCAAGAAATGGTCCCCGTGCGTGTACTCAATGCAATACTCCCAACTGCAGCCGCCGACACCCCTGCAGGACAGACCATTGTGCACCCGTGCGACGCCGTGGGCAGCTCGAGAAGCAACGACGACGTCAATGCAGCGACGTCAATGGAGGAGGGGGGGAGGAGGAGGTGGAGTAGGAGGAGGACGAGGAGGAGGAGGAGGAGGAGGAAGAGGAGGAGGAGGAGGCGGAGGAGGAGGAGGAGGAGGAGGAGGGAGGCGGAGGTGGAGGCGGAGGCGGAGGCGGAGGCGGAGGCGGAGGCGGAGGAGGAGGAGGAGGTGGAGGAGGAGGTGGAGCAGGAGGAGGAGGAGGGAGGAGGAGGAGGAGGAGGAGGAGGAGGCTTTCAGACCCAGGCGTGCCGGACAGCGAGATCCAGCATCTGAGGCGGGGATCTCTACACACCCTCCGCCTGGAGGATCGATCTTGTGGGAGATCTCGCCGGGCGGTGAACATGGATCTATCTTGGCCCCCGGGGTCCCGAATATATCCACATCCACCGCCCGCTGGGTCCCCGGGGCGTCGGTGCCCAGGCGGTGGATCTGGATAAATCCCCGCCTCGCACGGTACGATCGGAGCGAGGTACAAGATCGGGGTTGGTTCGGGGAGGGTGCCCTAGTGTTCTGCGTGCTTGTCGGACGTTCTTGTGCTTCCTGGGGAGTGCACCCGTGGACGCTCTGAGTGTCTTGGCCGGCGGAGGGTCGCATGCTCTTGAAGGATGTTCATCTATTCTGCGTCTGGCTGTATTCCTACAAGTGTTGAAAATCATTTTGGGGGCTTCAGGGAGCGTCCTCGTGACCGCAGCCGGACCCGTTTTGAGGTTCTGGCCTGAGCGCACCCCAGGACAGGCCCAGGGGCCGTTCTTGATCTGCGTGGCTGTCTCGTGCCCGTGCGGCGCGCCCCAGTGAGATGCGAGCGGACGGAGGACGCCCGCGGGAGGCGTGTCCTCGCTGCTTCTGCCCGGGCGGCACAGCGCTGCATAGCGCAGCCTCGGCCCCCGCCCCTCTCGACTGGGGCTGCGGGTCCGGTTCGCGACCTCTCTTTTCACTTGGCTCGTGATGCGTAGTGCACGCGCGCGAGCTAACAGGGTCAACATCGAAACGTGTGGACGTTGCTACGGAGAAGAAAAGACGTCTGCACGCGCGCACAGGAGGCCCGAATCGATCACCCCACTGCGGGTCATACGGAGGAGGTCGCCCCACTCGATCGCTGGCAAGTGCTGCCGGGCGCCACGCCCGCTCTGCCCTAGCGGCTCGCCCTGCACCGTCGCCGCGCCTCTTCTCATGCAGGGCGTTCCAAGAGACGGGCTCGTCTCGGAGGAACCGCAGCAGTGGCCTTGCGCCTTCGCCGGAAGCCGGCGGAGGGCCCACGGACGCCAGCGAGTGCCAGACGAGGACGGCGACTCCGCGGGCGGGCAAGGCTGGACCCCCCGAAGGGAGGGCCGCGCCGGCAAGCCCAGGGCTTCCGAGCCATACTCGACTACACGCATGAGTGGCACTTCGCCAGAGTGACCTTCGGTGCGAGCCCATTGGGGTCCCTCGGTCGCCGAACGCGAAGCGGTAGCAGCGGCTTGCGCGCCTGGATTGAGCCGCCCCGCGGCCCCCCCAAAGCCGCGCACCAAGGGTCACACGTACCCAGGGTCACTCTTGCGTGTGGCCGACATAAGCGATCTACGGTGTGTACCCAGATCTATGACGTGTGTGTGTGTGTGTGTGTTCTCGGGCCCGGCTTCCTCCCCGCCGTCGCCGGGCGCCTCCCCTCCTCCCCTCGTGCATCGCGGCTGAATTCGCAGCAGTTCGTCCAACATTTGCCCTTCCGCCAGCGCAGTCACTCTGCCTGGCCGCCGACGCAAAAAGTGTGTGTGTGTGCACATGCTCGCATCCCTGTTCTTGATCGTCTCCGTCGCCTTTCTTCGTCGTTTATTCGGGGTGGGTTGGCGAGGGGGGGGGGCGGGCGGGAAGTCCCGTGAGAGGCGCAGCCCTGCACGTCGCCGACGTCGGCTCTCGCACTCGGCCGCGCCAGCTCCGCAGCGCAGAGGGCGATTGCGCCTGCGCCGTCCGCCGTGTCCCTCTTTTACTCCTCCTCCTCCTCCTGCTCCTCCTCCCCCTCCTCCTCCTCCTCCTCCTCCTCGTCCGTGCCCGCCTCCTCCGAGAGAGCTGCTGGCGCCCCCGCCTCCTCCATGGGCGGACGGAGGAGAACGAGGAGGATGAGGAGGAGGAGGGGGAGGAGGAGGAGGGTGAGGAGGAGGAGGAGGAGGAGGAGGAGGAGGAGGAGGATGCTGACGCTGCTGATGATGCTGATGCTGATGCTGACGATGCTGATGATGCTGATGATGCTGCTGCTGCTCCTGATGATGATGATGATGATGATGATGATGATGATGATGATGATGATGATGATGATGATGATGATGCTGATGGTGCTGCTGATGATGATGACGATGAGGAGGAGGAGGAGCAGGAGAGGAGAGGAGGAGGAGGAGGAGGAGGAGGAGGAGGAGGGAGCGGGGGGGGCCAGGCATCGTCAACGCCGAGAAGCGGGGCAAGCGCCAGGTCCTCGTGCGGCCCAACTCCAAGGCGTCCCGCCGCGCGCTCCTTGCTTGTGTTTGCAGCTCGGCGGAGGGCGGGAGGAGGAGGAGGAGGAGGAGGAGGAGAAGGAGGAGGAGGAGGAGCAGGCGGAGGAGGAGGAGGAGAAGGAGGGACGGATGATGATGATGATAATGATGACGATGATGATGATGATGATGATGATGATGATGATGATGATGATGATGATGATGATGATGATGATGATGATGCGGAGGAGGATGGATGGATGGATGGATGGGTGGGTGGGTGGGTGGGTGGGTGGATGGATTGATGGATGGAGGGATGGACGATGATGAAGATGATGATGATGCTGCTGATGATGATGATGCTGATGCTGATGATGATGAGGATGAGGATGAGGATGAGGATGATGACGATGCTGATGATGATGCTGATGATGATGATGACGATGATGATGATGATGATGATGATGATGATGATGACGATGATGATGATGATGCTGATGATGCTGATGATGCTGCTGATGATGATGAGGAGGAGATACATAGCTGGCCGCTCGCAGCCTGTGCCAGAGAGCGGTCTTCCCTCTAGGGGCGGGGCGGGGTGGGGCGGGGGCGCGAGATAATATAAGCGCGCTTTGCGCCTCGCTCGGCACCGAGTGCGAAGATGTGCCACTGGGGTACGAGGCTCTTCCACAAAGCCTTGGGCTCTGCCCCCACCTGCACCGCAGTGCTGAGCTGTCGGAAGGTGCTCTATGCTCTTTGCCTTCTCCTCCTCCTACTCTCTGCCTTCCACCTCTGCGTCTGATCCCTGCACGTCCTCTACCACCTGCTCTCTGCTCTTGCTCCCTCGACATTTGCTTTTCTTCAGTGTTTGCACTCTCAGTCCTTTGCTTTATACTCTCTGTGCCCTGCTCTCTGCGTTCTACTCTGCACTCTCTACTCTGTCTGGTCTTCCGAGTCCGCCTGGGCCTGGCCGAATCCGGGAAACCAAGCCAGAGGCGCCCGCCTATCCTTGGAGTTCGTCCGTTCTGCCATCGAGCACCATTTCGGCGAGCTCGCGACTGCGCCCTCGCCCCTGTGGCGCAGAGAGCACGGCGTGGGCGCCACTAGGGCCGTGCGACAGGGCGGAGCGGGTCGCACAGCAGAGCAGGTGGGAGCGGCCCTCTTATCCATCGCCTTGAGGTTCGGAGGGGAGTGCGCGTGCACACCCTCCCTCCATCCCACCCGTTGTGCCCCCGTCCTGCCGTCCTGCCCCTGCCGTTTGGAGGGAGCAGCGGAGGGGCGTAGAGGGAGGAGACGTGGGGATGAAGGAAGGATGAGGATGAGGATGAGGATGAGGATGATGATGCTGCTGCTGCTGATGAGGATGAGGATGAAGATGCTGCTGATGATGCTGATGATGATGATGCTGCTGATGATGCTGATGATGATGATGATGACGATGATGATGATGATGCTGATGATGATGATGATGATGACGATGGTGATGATGATGCTGATGATGATGATGATGCTGATGCTGCTGCTGCTGCTGATGATGATTTGATGGTGATGATGATGCTGATGATGATGATGAGGATGAGGATGAGGATGAAGATGTTGCTGATGATGCTGATGATGATGCTGCTGCTGATGATGATGACGATGATGATGATGATGATGCTGATGATGATGCTGATGATGATGATGCTGCTGCTGATGATGATGATGCTGATGATGATGCTGATGATGATGCTGATGATGATGATGATGATGATGCGGATGACGATGATGATGATGCTGCTGATGATGCTGATGACGAGGATGCTGCTGATGATGATGATGACGACGATGATGCTGCTGATGATGATGATGATGAGGATGATGATGCTGATGCTGCTGCTGCTGGTGCTGATGATGATGATGATGGTGATGATGATGATGCTGATGAGGATGAGGATGAGGATGAGGATGAGGATGAAGATGCTGCTGATGATGATGATGCTGCTGCTGATGATGATGACGATGATGATGCTGATGATGATGATGAGGCTGATGATGATGCTGATGATGCTGATGATGATGCTGATGATGATGATGTTGATGTAGATGATGATGCTGATGCTGCTGATGACGAGGATAATGATGCTGCTGCTGCTGATGATGATGCTGATGCTGCTGCTGCTGCTGATGATGATGACGATTTGATGATGATGCTGATGATGAGGATGAGGATGAGGATGAGGATGAAGATGCTGCTGATGATGCTGATGATGATGCTGATGATGATGATGACGATGATGATGATGATGCTGATGATGATGCTGATGATGATGCTGATGATGATGCTGATGATGATGATGCTGTTGATGATGATGATGATGCTGCTGATGATGCGGATAACGATGATGATGATGCTGCTGATGATGCTGATGATGATGATGCTGCTGATGATGATGATGACGACGATGATGATGCTGCTGATGATGATGATGCTGATGATGATGCTGATGATGATGATGATGATGATGATGATGATGCTGATGATGCTGATGATGATGATGATGTTGAAGTTGATGATGATGCTGATGCTGCTGAGCTGATGATGATGACGATCATGATGCTGATAATGCTGATGACGAGGATGATGATGCTGCTGATGATGATCATGATGCTGATGCTGCTGCTGATGATGATGATGATGCTGATGATGATGATGCTGATGACGATGATGATGATGATGCTGATGATGATGCTGATGATAATGATGATGCTGATGATGACGCTGATGTTGATGATGATGCTGATGATGATGATGATGATGATGCTGATGATGATGCTGATGATGCTGATGATGATGATGATGATGATGATGATGATGCTGATGCTGCTGCTGCTGGTGCTGATGATGATGATGATGGTGATGATGATGATGCTGATGAGGATGAGGATGAGGATGAGGATGAGGATGAAGATGCTGCTGATGATGATGATGCTGCTGCTGATGATGATGACGATGATGATGCTGATGATGATGATGAGGCTGATGATGATGCTGATGATGCTGATGATGATGCTGATGATGCTGATGATGATGATGATGCTGATGAGGATGCTGATGATGATGCCGCTGATGATGATGCTGCTGATGATGATGATGCTGATGATGATGCTGATGATGATGCTGATGATGATGATGATGCGGATGACGATGATGATGATGCTGCTGATGATGCTGATGATGATGATGCTGCTGATGATGATGCTGACGACGATGATGATGCTGCTGATGCTGATGATGCTGATGATGATGCTGATGATGACGATGCTGCTGAGGATGAGGATGATGATGCTGATGATGATGATGATGTTGATGATGACGATGATGCTGATGTTGCTGATGCTGATGATGATGATGACGATGATGATGCTGATGATGCTGATGACGAGGATGATGATGCTGCTGATGATGTTGATGATGATGCTGATGCTGCTGCTGATGATGATGATGATGCTGATGACGATGATGATGATGATGCTGATGATGATGCTGATGATAATGATGATGCTGATGATGACCCCTGATGATGATGCTGATGATGATGCTGATGATGATGCTGATGATGCTGCTGCTGATGATGATGATGATGCTGCTGATGATGATGATGATGCTGATGATGACGCTGATGCTGATGATGATGCTGATGATGATGCTGATGATGATGCTGATGATGATGCTGCTGCGGATGCTGATGATGATGACGATGATGATGACGCTGAGATGCTGATGATGCGATGATGATGCTGATTATGATGACGATGCATGATGCTGATTTGCTGATGGATGACGCTATGCTGATGATGATGCTGATGATGATGATGCTGATGATGCTGATGATGACGTTTGCTGCTGATGATGATGATGATGCTGAATGATGATGATGCTGATGATGATGATGATGCGCCTGAGATGATGAGGATGACGATGATGATGCTGCTGATGATGATGCTGATGATGATGATGCTGAGTCTGGATGATGCTGATACGATGCTGATGCTGCTGATGATGCTGATGATGATGCTGATGATGATGCTGATGATGATGATGATGATGATGAGGATGAGGATGATGATGCTGATGATGATGATGTTGATGATGCTGATGCTGCTGATGCTGATGATGATGATGCTGATGCTGATGATGATGACGATGATGATGATGATGATGATGCTGATGATGACGATGACGACGATGATCATGATGCTGATGATGATGATGCTGATGCTGCTGCTGATGATGATGATGATGATGATTTGATGATGCTGATGATGATGCTGATGATGAGCATGAGGATGAGGATGAGGATGAAGATGCTGCTGATGATGATGCTGATGATGATGATGCTGCTGATGATGATGATGACGATGATGATGCTGATGATGATGACGATGATGATGCTGATGATGATGCTGATGATGATGATGCTGATGATGATGCTGATGATGATGATGCTGATGATGCTGCTGATGATGCTGATGATGATGCTGCTGCGGATGAGGATGAGGATGATGATGCTGATGATGATGATGTTGATGTTGATGTTGATGATGATGCTGATGCTGCCGATGCTGATGATGATGATGCTGCTGATGCTGATGATGATGATGAGGATGATGATGATGCTGATGATGTTACCTTGGGTTGATTGGATGATGACGATGATGATGATGATGATGCTGATGATGATGATGATGTTGATGTTGATGTTGATGATGATGCTGATGCTGCCGATGCTGATGATGATGATGCTGCTGATGCTGATGATGATGATGAGGATGACGATGATGATGCTGATGATGATGATGTTGATGTTGATGTTGATGATGATGATGATGATGCTGATGATGATGATGACGATGATGATGCTGATGATGATGATGATGAGGATGAGGATGAGGATGATGATTGATGATGATGATGATGTTGAGGATGAGGATGAGGATGAAGATGCTGCTGATGATGATTCTGAAGATGATGATGCTGCT